CCCCTCCACCCCCTCCACCCCCTCCACCCCCTCCACCCCCTCCACCCTCCGCCTGGACGATCCATCCTGGTCGCCGCAGAGGTAACCGCCTCCATTGGGAGGGCTTGGCCGTACGGCCACGGCCGCCAAAGGACCTGACGGGGGTGCCCGTTCGGCGGCGTTCCGCGTTCGCCGGCCTTCCGAGTTCCAAGTCCTGGGACGTGACGTGGTGGGAGTCCGGCGAAGTAGAAGGCTGCAACTTAGTTGAGAAGCATCTAAGTTGAATAGACTGAGCCCAAGAGTCTGGTTTGGGGAATTTTGCGGGTGCTTCCATCTGCGACAGGGGGATTTGAGAGCACCCGATGTTTGAGACAGGCATGCGGCATACTCATTCAGAATCTTTCTGGGTGGTCTCCACCACCCAGGACGGGCATCCTCACCACAAGCCGGATCTCCAAAAGGCTGATGAGTTGTTCAACATGCAAGTCCGGTTCACATGAACTTCCTTGTTTCATCTACTAGTGACTGTGCCTCCATCTATACAAGTGCCCCCTTCTTGCGAATCAAAGGAGTGAAAGAGTAGAATACAGCCTTCCTCGTGTTTCTTCTCCATCGAACAACGCCTCAAACGCTTCTCGGAGGACCAACCGACCGATCCCACCGACTCTTCTGAGGGCCCAGCGACTCTTCTGACCTGGCCCGACCCCGTGCCGACCTGGTCAGTGCTTTGAACCAGGTGCCATCCACTTGTTCTTGAGCTATCTGCCAGTGCCATCGACTCTGAAACTGCTGCATCTGATCTACTAGGCAAATGACACCCATGACATGGTATTGTGCTTGCTTGGGCCACTTCACACACCCGCGAATGGAATTTGCAAAAGCTCTTATAGAGGTTTAAGCGACTGGGGACGTCGCGGTCTACCACCCGCGACTTATGGGGTGCACTGGTCAACGTGCACAGTGCTCAATGAATCTGGCCTACCATTTCAGAGCCCAAGACATGCCCAAACCATTTCAGAGCACTGTAGGTGGCTCTTGGGAATTCCGCATTTGCCACGTCAAAGGAATGCCATGGAAGGCCTATCTCACTCCATCGGTCACCCTGCAAGCGGATTTCGAGGTTTGGGTTCCCCAGCCTCAATCAATCCTCGCTCAATCCTCAATCAAAACCATCCTCAATCAATCCTCAATCACCCTGACCCTGACGGTCTGACGGATTTGAAGGTCTTGTTTTCAATCCTCCATCAACTCTCAAGACCCTCCCCCCTCGCCTTGCATGCTAAGCGGAAGCCTGGCATGGACATAGTCCCACGCAATTCGGAAAAGCAGAGTGGCAGCCGCACAAGGCCTACCTTCCTGTACTTTTGAAATCTGGTTTCCAGTCGTTTTCCCTTCCTGTAGTGGATGAACATGGGTTCAGGCCATGAACAGACTGAAAAGAGTGGAACATCTACCTGGCAACTGCTAGTTGCACCTCAACAAGAAACATGTTGGGTTCCGGGCTTGTGACGGTCTGCGATGACAAGCTCAGACTCTCTGTGCTCAACATGTGACCTTCGGAACCCCCTGCCCTTGTTGGGTTGCACCAGTTCAGTCAGGCCCGACGTTTCCTTCCGAGGCCGGGAGACCAAGGATTGAGATGAACGACAAACCTCTGGGCCGGGTGGCTTCCGCTGCGAGCGACCGGAGCCACCGGAGCAACGAACCCATCGCCCCGTTCGTCCTCGCCGTGCGTCGTGATGCTTCGTCGCCCCAACATCTGCCCCGATTCTCCCAAGGAGTGGCCTATTGAATTCCGCTTCCAAGTTATCGAAGCGCGCAATGGACTCCCTGAGCCGGGACCTGAACGGCGAAGCGTGCAGGTCTAGGGGGCTACTGTACCTACTTAGTGAGAGGCTAGCCCCGAAGCTAGCCTCTCACCTACTCGGAGGGTTACTAGCCCTGTGGGCGTGGTGAAGCGGCCAAGAGCGGGCTTACCAAGCGCCCCTGGGGCGGGTCGAATGGGACCCGCGGGAGGGGCCAACCTTCACAGAGACACATGATTGTACCCGTAGGCAGTTGAAATAACAAGAGGGCAATGGCAATCATGGCAAGTCAGGTTCTTGGTGGACTCTTAGGCGACTTGAACGTGATTGACAGTTGTACATCTTAAGTTCCTGCTTTGTTCAATAGTTGTATTTTCCACGCATGCACATTTCTGGGTGATGGTTTTGAAGAATGGGACTTGTCTGGGATGGTTTCATGCGGAGTCTGGACGCTTCAAAGGCTGCTTCAAATGGGTTCAGTGCTACTCGGGCACGGCGTATCTGTTAGCTAAATGTCTGAACGTCTGAATTTGGGCAGCAGCGCTTTGGAGGGCTCTGGTTCTGGATCAAGTAACCACTGGCATCCCTTCGCAGAAAGGTTCAGTGGCACAGGCATCCATCAGGGCAACGATGGAGCTACGCGACCATCCTTCAGTGCGAGTTGGAACCTCCTTCTTTAGCTTAGTGCTGTGCACTCCCTTGGGGCTCCAACTGCCTGAAAATGTGTTAGAGGCTGGGCTAGCGGGGTCTTTTGCCCATCCATCCCTGATGATAACTTCCGTGGGAGGAGCCTGAATTCGCCGTGAGTAGAAAGCCAAGAACGTTTTGCATCATGAACCTCTGGTCGGTCTTTGTGTCTGAGAATGTGAAAGATCTACAACGCGGGTGAGACGTTTTTCACTTGTTAGGTTCTGATGGTTCCGGTGGGCAACAGGAACGTTTCCTGACGCTGTCACTTGATAAAAATTGCAGACAGACCCTGTTTGCCAGCCCTTTTCGAAGATCTCTTCCATCTTGACTTCCAGACCTGAGACGAGAAATTGAATGCTGACACTCTGAGACTCCTGTTGCGGCAAGTGTAATGTTGAACTCTTGCTGTCATCTCGCAACAAAGGTCAAGCCTAGAAGGCTGCTCGTTGCGCGACATCATCCAAACTTAACTGCTCTGCGGCCTGAATGTCAGAGTGCAGCATGACATGCACTGATTTAGCATGAGTGCAACGACAAAGGCCATCTTTTCAATGGCATCTAGCTAGGCTGCTTTTCTCCATCACTCCGGCGAGCGCACGGCTATGGGCGGATTTCCTGGAGTGTGGCACTCATTGCCATCACACTCGTCAGAATGACCCCCCAGCCGTGCAAGCGGTCGCCTTTAAATTGGTGTGTGTGTGTGTGTGTGCGTAGCTAACATGTTTCAAGGCATCTCGTTCAACATCACAAAACATAACAGGTTTCTGGCATCATGATGACTGCCTAAACAAGAAACTATGAAATTATTCTATATAGATGTTTGATACGTTTGAGCAGACCATGTGTGACAGCAGTGCAGCTGTCCTTGCATAGACATGCCCGAAGATTAACGCATCAATTCCATCTTAAAGTCGTGACTTCCGTTCAGCACAGGTGAATCTTGAGCCTCATGAATCGTCCATGTTCTCCGCATGAAAAGCCCAGTGCCTGCCAAAGGAACAAACAGGCTTGATAGCGTACACCTGTGCCCAAACATTCGTGACTTGCAATTCATTTCCACACCATGCCCATTGCGCAACTTGTGGGCGTGCCAGGAGATGATGCAACGCCATGCCACTTGAGGTTTCGGTGGTTGTGTCATCCACAATCTGCTTCCAGCAGTCCCATGTCACAACCACATTGGCATTGTCAGTGGAAGCACCTACAATTCCCAAAGGTATGGCAACTCCCAATGCCAGAGGGCCGCTCGCTGCGCCAACTCCTCCTCCAACAGCAATTGCTGCTGTGGCCATTGATATTGACGAGGACCGGGTCGCTCCAGCACTTGCCACCGCGGCGGCTGCAACGCTACCTGCAGCAGTTACACTGCCTGCTGCACCTGCCGCACCGGCAGCAGAGGCTGCCACGGCAGTGCCGGTCGCAGCCACTGCGGCACCTGTAGCAGTGCCAGCCGCAGCCCCGGCCGCAGCGGCGGCCGCAGCACCTGCAGCCGTCGCACCAGCAGCTCCTCCAGCAGACCCTGCAATGGCAACACCAGTCAAAGTACCTCCTGCTCCTGCAGCGCCTGCGCCTACGAAGGCTGCAGCGCACCCATCAGCGCCAGGGTTGTCCCTCCAGTAGGTGAAGCCTGCTAGCCCGGCCAAAACCATGATCTTCCTTCTACTTATATAAGTACTCGGAATCTTGTTGAACCGCAAAGTGCTGCAAGTCAAGTCGGTGCATGTGCTTCTCTGGGGGCCTACACTCCACAGTGAAGTGCCTGAAGTGAAGCAAGGTTCTGCGTCAAGGACACGTATATAGTGTAGAAGCCTGGATGGCCTAAATCACCACTATCCTGGCACTGTCACAATTTCCACTCTTCACATTCCCAACTGGGGCACCTGGCTGAATAAATCGCAGGAAATGTTGAAGAGCACGTCGGACAAAGCAACAGAGCGGACGGTTAGACAAACTAAACTGCCATTGACCCTCAAGGAGGTGAAAGGTTTGACTTGACAAGAATATCAACAGAGTTCACAAACAAGACGAGAAGGGAGGTATGACTTTGCCCTGGACTCATGCTTCTCCTCCAAGCACTCTGAGGGGGGAGAAATTTCTCTGCAAGAACACTCCGAAAGGGACTTTAGGCATTTGAAGCTTTGCCATCGGCTTTGGCGAGTGATTAAATGACATAAATATTGTGACATTAAGACACTTTCACACTGCATATGTTTGTTGAACAATCAAGTTCTCAGCAATTCCATGCGAACAACCAAACCTATGATCCCTGTGCTTGATTGGTGGGGGTGGGGCGAACATGTGTCCTGGCACTAAATATCATAAAGTGACCCCAAAGGATGGTTGGCATCAACGATTGGTTTAAAGGTTGATGGCCTCTTATGTGTTTCAATCTGGGTGCTACTTCGGCAAGATTTTGCACATGGCGTTGATCATCTTGCATCATCTTTCCACATTTCCAAGCACCTAGCAATTGCGCAAGAAAATCCTTCCAAACCTGTACGCCTGCGCACTGGTTGGCAGGGAGGGTGTGTTCCCATGCAGGATCCTTGCAGAAGGTTGCCCCCACTCCCGTGACTAAGTGACATTCGGCGAGCGAGATCCTCCTCCGTCAAGCGCAGCCTCAGCAGTCGGAGGTCTTCACTGGGGCAAACTCGGACCATCTATTCGTCCGTTGGGGGGTGCTGAGAGAAAGATGCTCCGCGGCTCGGATATGTAGTCCAGCATGGTGACTGCACGGACATATTTTGTCCCCATAGGTCGGAAGAGCAGGGAATGGAGCAAAGCAAGGGAAGGTTTTCCTACTTCCATTACAGCAGGTCAAAGAAACAAAGGGGGACAAAATCCGATATTGACATGTAACAGCTCTTCAGCAACGACTTGCTAAGAAACATGGAGACTGCCACTGCCACAAGGGGATGACAACGGAGCTGTTCATCCCACCAATACCCCTGGATGCTGATTGTACACTACGGCGTTGCATCGGTATATAAAGTATATACAGTAGTCTGGCCGCGATTTGGAGGCCAGAGTTTGGCTTCGGGGGGCCCCAGATTGAACCACCAGCTGCAGCATTGGTCATCTTCTGGGTGTCTGGACCCCACCAGAGCGTTCCATGGCCGAAGAACCGTCAGTTCCAAGAGGCCACCGCCCGTCCGACCACTGAGGCTCCCAGCCGGTACTGGCCTGGTCGGCGGACCAGAGACTGACATCGGGAACCCCGGGGAAGATCGGAAACCTCCTGTAGTGGAAACCGCCCGAGCCCGAAGGGTTGGTGAGGCTGCAAGCAGGGGGCATCAGCAGTGAAGCTGGGTGGCCAACAGACCCAGCAGAGAGGTCATTGAACGATCAAGTCTTTTTACGGGTCTAAAAGTTCAGACCCTTGTTTATGGTGTCACGGCCACTTCCGGGGCCTTTCTGGGAGGCGTGCGGTTTCTTGATGTTGAATTGGCTCACGTTTGTGGACCAACATGTTGATGTTCATTTACATGTGCGGGGGGGACAAGTGACGCTCGTTCGTGCCTTCGCAGCTTTCTTTCGAAGGCACCGCCGGAGCATGGAGCGGCCAAACGGCGTCACTGGTGCCTCCACCTGCCCCTGCGTACCCGACACTTGGGCGTAAGCAAGAGGTTGGCAGGTTTTATGCTTTGGTGGCTGTGTGTATGATTGTGTTTGTGACCCCAGCTGATTTGACACTTGTTGCAGCTGGTGCTCGGCTGACACAAGAAAGTTGCGCAGAGATAGTCCTGTCAGGCTTGCGCGACTGTGAAGCACGTCCAGCATGTGAAGAGTCAATGGACGAAGCATGCCAAAGTCAATGGACGAAGCATGCCAGGCTTTGGAATAGAGTTTACCAGTGGATCTACCGCCACAAAGAGCGGACACCTTGAAAGCAGAAAAAAAGATGCGAGTACACTTTTTGCGGGAACGTCTAACGTCGCAACACGAAATCTGCATTTCGTGTGGGCCTGCCCACGCGAATACGGGGCACCCGAAAGGACGTGAAACCTTGTTTATCCGCAATTGACCTCAAGCGTGATCTTTTCGTGGCCAACATCGCCAACTCACAAAGTCCTATGCACATGGATCCATGTTCACGTGCAAGTGGATCTTGAATGGAGAAACATCTCTGTCTGAATCCTGACCTTTCACCAACCTTTATGTTCAGTGCAGCTTTCCAACCACACGCCCTGACCATCCCTGACCCATTTGATCCCCAATCCTTCAATCGCTTGCGGTCACTCCATCGGTCGGTTCTCCACACCGGTTCCGGATTCGCTAAGGAACCTGGGCACTCCGGGGCTCCACGCGCAGCTTCATGAGTTGCATGATGGCAGCGTTAAGGGTCTTGACATTGCAGTACCTGGCGGACTTCAACGACGGCGCGGCGCCACCATCCTGGGCCGTTTTGGACGTTTGGGCTTGAAGGGTGGAGAAAAGGGGTGGACTGGCCTCTCCCGTCTTTTGAAGAAGTTTCTACAGGTGGTGGGCCACCAACCTACTGAAATCTCACACGTCATCGTCCGACTCAGGAGAAACTGTGATGGCCCTGGGCACTTCCTAAAGAGGTGCTTGTGCCAAACATTCAGGGGGCAGGTCCTCAGAGCGGCGAGCACCAGTAGTCACAAGCACCCTTTCGAAGAAAGGATCCAACGACCTTTGAAAAGGCCAGCTGTTTCAATGGTTCCGTTGGTCTAGTTAGTTCATATAGTTGGCGCTGCTTCCTCACATAGAACAATCACATGAAGTAGGTCTTACTGTAGGACCATAAGACTCGACAACAACGCCGACTCTGTCCAAGATGCCCCCCTCATGAGGAAAAAAATTATAAAAAAATAAAACATAACCGCTGGCGACAAATGGTTCATCATCCCTTTCAGCATGCTGCTCACCACTCCGGATTTGGGGCCGAGAACCTCTACCTCACCTCCGGTGCAAAAAAAAACAAACCGCGCGATTTGGGCCCTGCACTCATCTTGGACGAAACTGTGCGCGATGAAGATCAAGCTCCCCACAACATAACCCACTTCCTCACCGTCCTCGCCGAAGGAAGCACACCGTCGACGGACTCGAGTTCTGAGCCCCTGTTCCGAGCGCCACGAGAGAACTCGTGCTTTCGTCGAAAAAAAAACGGCAATGAACAGGTTGATCTGCTCGCTTGCAGTGCATGCCCTCCCGAGCCATGCCCATGGCAAATCACGGGAGGTCTCACCATCTCAGTACAAAACAGCCTGCGTGTTCCACCTGAACCAGGCACAAAGAGCCCTATGATAAGGAAGCTGTGATGAGCGTGTGCCAAAGGTGGCAGCACATCTTAGATGCAGGGCCACTTCAGCATGCTAGTTCCACCCACAAGGTCTGGTCACAACACGTAGGGCCTTTGGAAAATTGGAAGATGGGGACGCACTTCTCGGAACAGGTCCTCCACGCGGGCACCCAGCTGGGCATAGAAGTCCAAGAAATAGGCGCTGGCGTGCGCGAGGATCACGCACACGTCCTCTCGGCGGGATGATGCGACTTGAAAACCCCCCCACGACCGGGCGTCCGTTGCACCGACTTGAGGCCAACCGACTAGAGCAGTAAGGAGGCATCTCTACATCTATACATTGGTTCTGACCGACCTGTACTGTGATTACCTGTGCACTGGAGTGTTTCCTGCAATCGTACCTGTACACCGATGCGCGGCCTTTCAAACCCCGCTTCTCACTCAAAATCGAAGAATGCCCTCCCCAAAGCGCCACGTCTCCAATCTCTGTCGATCTTTCTGCCTCTCCTCCACGTGATAGTCACACATCCGCAGAAACCTGGCGGATGCTCACCACCGGCGGGGGGTGCTCCGGAACTGGGGGATTGGGAAAAGAATTGGAAGAACCAAGTGGTTTCACACCGTGCTCCCGAACCTGATTCTTCCCCCGCCTGACCACCCGGAACAGTAGCTTCACGACCTGAAGCGAGGTTGGCATCGCGGTTGCTGTCATCTTCTGGGTGGCGAGGGGCAACTGAAGACACGGGGGGATGGGAACCTGATACTGAAACATCTCAGACCTGTGTCTCTAGTGCAGGGTGAGGCGAAGTCCTGCTTGAGGAACACAACGATTCCCGGCACTTGCTCAGGCTGGACATGGATGACGGACGCGCATGACTTGCGGTCCCTACCATGTGACTCTAGGGGTCGCTTCCGGTCGTGGTCGATCTCAAACATCCGTTCTTGTCGCCGTTGGGAGCCAATCCTCTGGCGTGCATGGCGCTGGCGCTGAAACCCAGCTCCGTTCTTGCGGGCACTGACTGAGGCACCCGGACGGAGGGCACCACTCGGGTCAATGGTGTCAGCTCGAGGAAGCTGGAAATCAAATGAACATCCTCCAGTCGCGGCTTGGTCAACGGGTTTCCCTGGGCGAGAGCTCGGTGAGAGCTGACCAAACACCGGAGGAATCAAGCCAAACGATCCACCAAGTCTTTGGTTTCTTATATGCCAGCATTCTCCTCAAGCAAGCCAACTTTGATCGCAACTGGATTGTCTCCAACTAACAACGCCGTCCGTCCTCTGCGCACGAGGCATACGACCGGTAAGGGCCCAAGTCTTGCCTGAGCCCAGATCATCAGCAAAGCTGCCGAGTCCCGAGTGAAGCTGAAGCGAACTTTTGGTTTGCGTTGCAAGTGTTTAAATCAAGAACCAAAAACACTGAATAATTAAGTAATTCATTCAAATCAGGCGCCGTGCATTAAGTCAGTAAACCCTACCGCATCTGGCGCAAGTGGATGAGCTGCAGACCGTGCTAACATTTTTAGACATCATGAGGGTGACATCATGCAGCCCAATGCGCCTAAAAATAATTGATATCCGATCATGTTCGACAAGCAAATGGACAGCCTGATCAAACATGTTCGCAGTGCTGTCTATAGAGTCTAGGTAGCGTGGCCCACCCAAGCTGGAAAGCCTAAGCCTGAGTCCCCAGCGCAAAGGCTAAGCCTTCCCAAATAACATCCTGCACAAAGCCATCTTGAGCACCAGCACCCAAAAACGATTTCCTACACTCCCTGAAACCATTATGCAAATGGATGGCATGGCCCCTTGGATGACAATTGTCTTCTACAAACGGTGGTTTTCCGCTTCCCATGATGATTTTCCAGGGAATGTCAATACGGTCTGTCGGGCTCACCTTTTTAACTTAACCTCTGTCGTGTTTCTGTGGTCATTGACCTGGAAATGACTTTTTGGGGATTCTTTTATGCAAATATAATCTGCGAATTGTTGGGGCTAGCTCAACAACTCAGAAGGCCAATTTCAGCAGGCCTCGGCCACACCACTGGACGCTGGGAGGGAGGAAGAGCTTGCCAGCGCAGTGCCTGGGGAGACCCCAAAGCAGGGCAAGCATGATTCACACTCTGGCTTCTACCAACAATGGTTATCACCGGTACCACCACAACTGCTTCCCGCTGATCCCCGAGCTGGGGCAAACACTGGCAGTGTCGGCTCGTGGCCTTGGCGTGGTAGGGTTCCAAAAGAAAACATACACAACTTGAGGCCGAGGGTAGGTGACGAAAGCTAGCAGGGGTGCATCCGGACTGGTGGGACATCAAGCGGAGTGAGGCAAATGCTCATGAGGTAAAACGTTGTGAACATGTAAGACACACAAACAGCAATGACACAGCCAACCTTAGAATTGAAGTCCCCGATAATTAAGGAAGCGCGGCTGGACTTTGCCACACTGTTCGATGCATCCGATGTGTTCACGAACCTGTGAGCTTGTTGAATCTGTTGCACCGTATCCCGGAGGAGTTGAGCCAAAGTGGATGCCATAAGAGATGCCCCAGAGGTGTCCCAGAGGCGTCCGAGGGGGGAGTTGAACCCACGGGGGGGGGGCCCTACACATGAAGTTTTCACGTGATTCGGCGATCCCGAGGATTCCAGCCCCTCACTTGCTAAAGCAAGGGCAACTCCAGCTAGCTGGTGCTAGCTTTCATGACAACAGAAGCTAAGATGCGCCAAACGCTTAGATTCGATACATACTTGTCTTGCGATAGGCACCAAAGCCACCAACTGGAAAATGCAGAGTTCTCTCTCTTCTCGAGCCGCATTGTCTGTTCCCAAAGCCTCTCAGCCTATTGCTCAACGAGTATGGCCCCTTGGTTGCCGTCTGGCTGGCGCTGCTTGAATTCCAATGTGACTACTGAAGCATCTTGCCTGCGCGCACGGAAAAGAAGAGATTGCCAGACGGGACTTGATCGCGGCGTTGGAAACGTCGATTAATTTATGGTGCGTTGTTTTTTGATTTATATAACTTGTTCTTGCCCGCTCTCATCCGCCTGGCCATGCTACCATGCGTCACAAGAACCGATTTCAAACCAGCATGGCGCTCGGTTGCGCACTCTCGCTTGTACACGTGGAGAACGACTTGCTTGTACACGCACGAGTTGGAAAACTAGGAAGCCTTGACCATCATGGCTGCGTCGGCACACGCTCCCAATTGTGCAAGGATCATGCATCTGCTACGCAAAAAAGAAGCAAACATGCAGATCTTGGCTTCTGGATTTCCAAGCTTACACTGGACATTTCTGACGCGAAGGGACTTGAAGACGTATTCTGCGCCAAGATCGGAACTCTGGCGTGATTGGGCCGTGGTGCACCAGGTCACTGAACGGCCCACACTCCCCGGTTGGCTTTCTCTTTCGAGTGAAATTTTTAATGGGGCAATGAGCTTTTCCAATGAACTTTAGAGGAGGAAGGGGCCATTCCAATGTAGCATACCTTCTGTGAGCCACCCAATGGTACATATAGAAGCGGAAAGGGCCAATCAATCCAATGCAGCACACCGTTTGTGAGCCACCCAACAAAAGGGGCGTTCCAATGTAGCATGCCATTTGGGCCACCCGACGACGAGCCACGCGAGGGTTGAATTTAGAGGGAAGGTGCCATTCCATGGTGAGCCACGCACTAAGGTGCAACAGCAAGCCAGAGTTCTTAATGAAACACATGTGATGAGCCAACTCCAACCGCCGGACATGAAGCTGGTAGACCGTGGTCACTAATGCTGATGGAAGAGACCAGCTTTTAGAGCCAAACTTCTGTGGAGACATCTGCAGGCCCAAGTTTTGCAAACATGTCATACGTGACGGAGAACCGGAGACGACAGGAGACCCGTGCCGGAGACACGCCGGAGACACGACCGGAGACCGCACGATATTTACATTCCCTATCATCAAAAGCCCTCCGAATCCTTCGTAGTCGCAGTCGCAGTCGTCGTAGTGGTCGTAGTAGTCGTCGTCGTCGTAGTAGTTGTTGTTGTTGTTGTCGGCGTCGTAGTCATAGTCGTAGTCGTAGTCGTAGTAGTCGTCGTCGTCGTGGTGGTGGTGGTAGCTTGTTGGGGTCAACTGGACCAAGAGGGTCCGGAGATTGAGCGTGTGGCCCCCTATGCGGTCGCAATGTGTGTCTTCCTTTCTTGTTCTTTCTTTGTCTTCCTTTCTTTCTTTGTCTTCCTTTCTTTTCCTTTCTGTGTGTTCCTTTCTTTCTGTCTGTCTTTCTTTCTTGCTTTCTTTCTTTCTGTCTTTCTGTCCTCAGTTGTGCTTTTTCTTGAGCCCTGTTTGTTTGTTTGATCCCTCTCCCCAACAATTCTGTCCCGAAGCTGAGGTGCCCTCTCCTGCTCAAGACTGGCAATGTTGGCAAGAGTTCATGGCCCGCCCCTCGGCTGCCTGGAAAGCCCTCCTTCGCAGAGCCACAGCGAGGAGTCAGGTTTTTTCCAAAGACGATATGAGTGGGAAAAATGGCATGTGGAAATCTACGAGCAGGTTCTCGAAGCTGGAATTTGCTTACCGAATATGGCACCTATCAGCCAGGCTCGACACTACTGCCTGCAATGCCAACGGACCTTCGAAAGTGCGTCGGCCTGTGCGGTCCATTCATTCAAGCGCCATAATCGAGCTGCTCGGGCTCGTGATTTCGTCACAGGAGTTACATGTGAAGCGTGCTTGAAAGTTTTCCCTAGCCATGTCGATTTGGTGAATCATGTGAACAGGCAAGACAACTGTTATCAGTTATACGAGGGGCGAGGACTCCAAGTCGAGCGCGAGCCTGGAGTCAATAGTCGACATGCTGCTCAGTCACGTAGTGAGCTCCCTGCACCATATATGCAAGCAGAAGGGCCCAAGCCGGAATCGGAAGAGCTTCATGGTGCTTTGACGGTGTCTGCGCAGCAACGAGTGACGCTTCGCCAAGCCTGGGAGGCTGCCCTGAGCACAGCCGTGACGACCCATGAAGCTGTTGAAGCCCTCCGTGTTGCTACTAAGGTTACTTTCCTGTATCATGACGAAATTCTTGACTTGTTTCAGGAATGGAGTGAAGCTTGGTTGCAACGACACGAAGAGGCATCGCTCTCCATCCTTGTTACGTTCCAGATTTTTAGGACAAAGGCATGTGGCGAATGGTTCCTTGGGCAGCCTGAAGCTGATGTTCTCACGCATGAACGTGCCATGTCCTTTTTCCGGGCGCAATCACTGGTGATGAGCACATTGACTTTGGCCCATCCCGAAAGAGTGAGGTACCGGCTTAGGATGGTAGCTCACTTGTTCTCAGGTGCTCGACGAAGTCATGATGTACAGGAATATTTGGAGCCGCGAGGATTCCTCGCTGTGTCCATAGACATTATTTTTGACCAACGATGGGGCGACCTAAGCAGAGATGAGACCTTTAGCATGTTTGTGGAAGCTCTGCGATCTGGCTATTTAGTAGCCTGGATTGCGGGCCCGCCGTGCGAGACGTGGTCTATTGCCCGGTTTAATGCCCTGCCCGGTGGCCCAAGGCCAGTTCGGAGGCGAGGGATGCCATGGGGTAACGTCGACCTGACCCATAAGGAGCACAAACAGGTTTCCATTGGAAGTCTCTTGCTCGGAATCACGTTCAAACTGATGTGGTTCACTCTCAGGTATGGTGCCACGTCGATCCTTGAACACCCCAGCGATATCAGCCAAGATGTCAACCGACCTAGCATCTGGCGTCTCGAGATCCTTAGGTTTTTCCTGAGGTTTCCGCAGTGCGAGCTGGTGGAGATTTTACAGGGATTCTACGGTGGCTTGACGCCGAAACCTACTACGTTGTTCATCATCAACGGGGCCCCTGATAATGCTAGCCTCCTTTTCTCACTGCGGACCTCCCCGCTACCGACGACATTTGCCCTGGGGAAGGCTGCCGACGGCAGCTGGAAGACTGCTGTCCTCAAGGAGTACCCCCCAGGGTTGTGCAGAGCGCTCTGCGCAATCGTGGAAGCAGGCCAGAGTGGCTCCGCTGAACCGGTTGATGAAATTCCAACCGAGTTCTTGGAGACCATAAAGGAACTGGCGAAGAACTTTAACCACTCTGCTGAGAGAGGGCCTGACTACCACGGATGAATGTATGCAAGTAATTTGTAATTTGATGCATCTCGACCGCGAGCGACAGCCTATGGTAATCGAAAGAGGAGAAAAAAAAAAAGATCTCTCTCCCGTTACCAGCAAGCTCACTCGAAAAACACCCTACCAACCTTCCTGCTCCCATCACTCTCTTCGAGTCATGACGAACAGCCAATACACTGAGCACATCTGAGCACATCTGAGCTCTGTGGCTTCGGCAGATCGGCCGGCGATGTCTCGAGCTCTGCGTCCCCTCGGACGGTCCGGCCGTTGGCACGCGCACTGCCGTTCCGTGGCCGATCCCCAGGAAGATGCGATCAGGGCGAACCAAGTAGGTGAATGAAATCGGTACATTTTCCTCCCCTGAGATACCGGAGATCGAAGAGGGTGAGCCGCGCTCTTTCACCTTCACCCCTGTGCAGCTTCACTGTTTGAGGCAAGGACAGGTGCCGACCGAGGCCTGCCACGCAAGGGACAGAAATCGCGTTGCACAATGTCTGTGGGCAATAGGTGGGACTTCCCCTCTAACTCTGCTCAACGCCTTGAATTCCTAGCAGTAGCAAGCCCTTTGAGACTGGCCATGCCACCAAAGGCATCTTCATCTGGAGCTCCCAACGCCCGGATGCGTCTCACCTTTCCGACCCAAGCGTCGAAAACGCGGGTTCTTCGCCGGAGCTTTATCCAGGCGTCTTTGGTCGGCATGGCAGGTGCCAACTCGTCGGCACCTCTCCAAGGGGCCCGAAGAAGTGGGAGGCCACTCGGCCACTCTCATAACGAATGAAGTACGGTTCGGCCATGAAGCGCAAAAACCTGCCATGCCTTCGAATTGCTAGATCCACCCACGACCACTGCAGGATCTCGGAATCTCCTCGGGGAAACCTCTTGCAAACATCTTGCTTGCTCATTGGTGCGGTAAAACATTGCTCGCAATGGCTGAACGCCCCAAGCCCCTAAGCCAAAGGCACAGGTTTCCCCCCTGCGTCGACCGGGCGATCTCTTCCGCAAAAAAAGAAAGGTGCCTCTGAGGCTCGTCATCGCGAGACTCGGAGTCTAACACATTGTACAGCAACCCTCGGACTCAGACATCCACTCCTCCAGCTTTTGTCGTCCCTGAAGCCTTGCATGGTGTGCTGCGGCGCCGCAGCTGGACCCACACAGCCCGGCCCAGAAGCAAAGGAAAGGCCAAAGCTCTAACGTGTTCAAGTCAAAGATGGCGTCCATCTACATCCATGCTGAGTGAAAATGAAAGGTTCGTCCACTTATTGGAGCACCCTTGCAGGGCAAAGAATCTGAATAAATCCAAAAGAAACATCATCAAACTGAATCGAACTTGTGTTGCTCGATGTTGCTTGATCATTTGGGTCTCAAAAGTCTATCAAGCACCTACTTCAGCGTGGCCACAACTCCAGCATGCTCAACCAACCTGAACCACCAGCTCGCCCATCCTCATCGCCTCCCGCCTCCGACCAAGAAAAATAACCTCTCCACCAGCTCCGACCCCAAAACCTCCAGCCAAACCCGATGGACATCTCCCAGGGGCGAGGCCAAAAATCGGGCTTGAGAAAGGGTGGTGATGGTGCCCGGGCGGCAGAAGCGCAGCCAGGCCAGCAGATGCCTGGACGAGTGAGTTCCAAAGCCTTTTTGAGACTCAGAACTCGGTTGACTTCCACAGGTTCTACTTCGATTTTCCCACATTGGAAGACGCAATTGCAAAACCTCTTCATTTCCGCACGATATGTATGCCCCTTTTTACCACCCTCTTCTTCCACGGCTCAAAAACACGGTCAAGCGGTCACGGTCCTGGTCCGTGCTTGGAGTCCCAAAAGTCAAGTTCCTGGATCCCTGGACCAGGCTCTCACCACCCACCGGAGCGCTTTCATGACTCCAAAGCGAAAAAGCCGTGTCGTCACTGGCGTGGCGTTGCGTGTGCAAGGTGTGGGAGCGGTGCCGGGTTCAAACTAATCTGAACACACCATAAGTACTGCACTTTCGTAGGGATCTGTCCTTCCTTCATGGATGAGGATGGCTCAATTTCAAGTCGTGGTGGAGAATCGCTCTAAAGTTGTTCCAAGCTCACCTTTCACACTTGTCAGAAGCTTCACATAAAAACAAGGCCCCAGGCTACGCCATGCTACGCCCCTACCCTGCCCAAAGCTCCGCTTCGCTCGACTTCTTGCCCAGCCCACGGCACTGCCCAGACAGATCATAGCGGTGGATCGCCAGGAGCGCGGCGCAGACACCCGAGCGCCCAAAGCCTGCCTGACCGGACCGCCAGGAGAACGGGATGGGCTGACTGGGCTGCTGAGGGTGGTCATAGGCTCGCCATCGACCCCACAGCCTTCCAAGCCCTACAGAACTCTAGAACGGTGCCCGGTAGGAGAGCCAAAGAGGAAGAAAGGCGGTCCAAAAGCCTTGCCGAAAACTTCTCTGCCTCTTGGCCAATAGGGCTTAAATGAATTCTCTGGATCCATGGTTTATGATGGTGGCTGTGACTGCCGATCTTCGTGGATGTTCGACACGTCTGATTCATCCTGGCCGCACCCTCAGGCGAACGGCCAAACCGTTTCAAGTCTACAAAGGAGGCACCAGTGGCACTTTGTCTCTGTGGTTTATCGAAAACATCTTTCAAAACAGCACTTGCCCCGCCTCTGAAAAACACTTGGTCTCACCCTGTCATCCTTTAGCCCTATACTCTTCTTGCTTTGAAGATCTGGAGCTATGTTCTTGGCGCATTCCACTCGCACCCGCAGGACGGCCTTACAGTGAAAAGCGATGGCCTTCCCTTCAGCCACCTCGCTGCAGCCATCGAGGACCTTCTTGGCAATGGCCTGGAGAAAAAAAACGGTCAGATCAGTTGAGGAAAAAAATGGTGAGATCAGTTGAAATATGCACACGAGGAGCCACATTTTGGGTGGTTTTTAGTCACTAGGGCTAGGGTGGATGTTCTGTGCACCCCTCTCCTCCAAGTTCGGCACCCCTTTGAAACTATATATATATATATATACTGGTAAAGAAGTATGCACGCGCGCGCACACGCACACACATATGCTTGTATGTAAATGTCGTCTTCCACGAGGCATGTTCCGGTAAGGCACTGTCAATTCGATGGGGTGGCCTCCTTTGCCTCTACAAACCGTGGGTTGCAAGGTAAGTAACACCAACATCAACAAGATGTTGAAAACACGAGTTTACAACGTGTTCCCATCTTTGGACACACGCCCCCGGGCTCCTGTGGGAATCTCTAGCAGGTACTCAGGAGCATCCCTCTAACATATATGTATATATATATATATACATGTCCGCTCCTGGCTCAAAGCTCCTTCCGGAGAACACTGCCGAGGGCTTTGTGGGAACCGACCATTCCTGCCTTGTCGGGCACACCTCCTCCGGTGTCGTCATATGCGGCCTCACAGGTGGCAGCCCCGGGCCCCAAGAGTGGGATTCCCAGCGCTGCAATGTCAAAAAGGACAGTTAAGGGATGGGACCAGGATAGATGATACCGGCAAGACTAGTGCATCTGGGCATCAGCGGCATCAGTATCCTTTATGATGAGTCACGTTCATGACAACTCAAAGCACGCACTTAGTCAGGCACATGGCTGTGGGTCAGAACCAGGATAATACCTTGGCTGACCTACCTGGAAGGTCAAGCTACATGTTGTTGAGGCTCCAAGATACTGGTCAGGAAAATGGACGGAGGTGCCGGAGGTGCAGAAGTTTCCTACAGGAGCGGCTTCAAGCCTCTTCTTCCTGCCTTTCCCCTCAAACCCACTGAGCCTGGACGTGAAGCAAGCCAGCATCTTTGAACTTCTTGGCGTCGTAGCTCTTCTCGAGGCCTTTCACCGCTGCATGCGCGGACACTATCTCCATCACCCAGACCCCCAGACCGCCTATCGCCACCCCAAGCATCGAAGACGACTCTCTCTTCCCACTCCCGCGCAGCACATCAACACTCAACTCCAGCGCGCCCGCAGCACGCTGCGGGTGACGCGTGACGCGCAGCACGCCCCTCGGCCTGACTCTCGGTCCTTGTTGAGGCGCACGAGGCCCGCCACGTTGAGCACTTCGAACCACGCGGCGAAGTTGGGCGTCTCAGGGCCCACCAGGTGGCTGCAGGTGGCGGGGTCCGGGTCCATGACCGTGGTCATCTGCGGTTCGCGGTTCGCGGTTCTGCTTGCGGTGAAAAGGTGAGGGAGGACAAAGACTAAGACTAGTGGAACAGAGGTTGAAGGACCCGAACTAGACTATCCCATAGGTACCCCAGCTTACGGGTCCTATAAGGTCACTGAACCTCTCTTGGATGGAACCGCCAGCTCGGGCATCACTGCTGTATGAAGCTGGATCCACCGTGTTGACGAGTCCTGGGATTCAAAAGCCAACACGAGAACGTGTAAGGCGCAAGGCCCGTATGGGTTGAAAGAAGGTCATCATCCCTGCATATGCCCCATCTGGAGGAAACATCCAAACACCCAGTGCAAACACCCAACCATCCGAACCATCCACCCCTTGTCCAGAAGGGCCCTCCACCCAATCCGAGAAGCCGGATCTGCCATGAGGAGGATCTCGCCAGGGATCACCCATGTAGCATCCCACTTGGCGCAAAGCTCCGTATATGCCTGGAGAGGCGGGCCGTTCGGCCCTGGGGCCGGGGTGCTACAAGGAGTTAGAGCTTCGTTGGCTTTGCATTTAACATCATGTGTGTAAGATGCGTATGTGTAGGGGCCAAGGCACCTTCAGGTGTTTCTAGAAGCCCAAGTTTACGACCAGACTTTGCAAACCATTTTTTCAGGTCACAAACACCAATAGCATCCAATGGCCGTGGATCAAAAACGTCGCCTCCCACGGTCTAACACCAGTTGGGCATCCACTCTTGGGACCACGGTCAATGCTCCTTGTCTCGACACTCGGGTAGTCAGCGGTCAAAACGGTCGAAAGGCGGAGCCCTTTTCTCGGCACCTTGGAGTCGAAGGCCTCCACATCAAGCCACTTGAGCCTCCGTTCGGTCCGCTGAAACCGGCGACGAAGTGGAGAGGTGTGTTCCATAGAAACAAACACCAGGCGTCACCGAGCGGCCGTGTTTAGTCCCTAAGTGAGTGGATAATAAAAGCACCCCGTCAACTTAGTGACTAACTTAGCGACTAACTGAGTGACTAACCCTGACCAAGTCAAACCACAGACCATAGGTCTAGGATTTCCTGTGGTATATACTTTTACCATTTTGCCTTCCTGGCCTCGTGCGAGGCACCAACCCAACACACCCCTAGCCCCGGTGCCCTCGCCTTTCCCTCGCTTCAAAGCCGCCGGTGCCCCCCCCTTCCAGACCCCCTACCCCACGGCGGCTTGGTCCGGCACCCGGTTCCGCTCGTCGCGTCGCGCGGGAACGTCTGTGGCGCGGAACGGCGGCGCCTCGTGGCCACCTCCAAGGCTTCCAGGCACGTCTTCAGCAGCATGCCCCCCCTCGGGCGCTGGCTTGCGCACGGACGCCCAGGAGTGCGGCCTGGGTGCGGAGCAAAGGAAGAAGCTTCCGCGGCGAGGCTCTTTCCAAAAGAAGAGTGGATCTAGGATGAGCTAGGAAGAGGTTAAAGTGCAGTGTCGGTGTCATAGGCATCCATTGAATCCATATGAATCCATCCAGGAAGAGCTTGAATTGTAATGTCAGTTCAAATTCTAACACGGGGCATGGCGGCTTAGCTGGAGGAGCTGGACCTTTGCCCCATGTGTTTCAATCCAAGCATGGCTTCACCGGGGGAGACCCTGCCAGAACTGGGTCGTTCAGAACGAGGCGCGAATCGTTCGACCACGAGATCGCGGTGTCACCGAGAGCTGGACCTACGAGCAACGCGAGAATGGTGGACACCTCGGATCCGGTGGATCCTGACAAACTGCTAAAACATCCAACACTCGTAGCTGAAGGGCAAGCTCAACCCAGTAGCTGTGGGGATACTGGGTTGAAGACATCCCACACTCTCCAACCCCCCCATGTTCTGGCCCCCTGCGATCTCTCCGAGATGCCGAAACTTCAAGTTCTGGCCCTCCCAGGGAGCATAGGCCTGGTCGACCGTGACCTTCTTCCTGAGACGCAGAGTGAAGACTCGAACGAGGTGAGGTCGCCTCTAACCGAGCCAGGCCGAAAATCACACCACAAAGTATGGATACATCTGTATGTTATATATAGATAGATCATAGTTGTATATGACATAATATGAGGTTTCTCAACTCCCTAGGTGCGCATCACTGCCACCAGGGCCAATATGGGCCAATGGTTTGCAAAAGCTCCACCGACCCAAACCCAAGGCTGCGCTGAGCTGCATCAGCAATGGATAGGCGGCAGTACAAAGCCCTGAGAAATGCCTGTGCGATTTGTACTCAGTTCCGGCGGGAGCAATGACCAAGACCTTCTTCTTGGCCTGAAAGAGCGCGGCTGGCAGAAACGAGAGGAAACTGATGCAAGTGCCAAAAATGTTTTCACCCCTGCACATGCAGGTGTAGGTGAAACCTCACGGAAAGGAACACAAAAAGTAGCTGGAGCCGCTTCTTACACCGAGGGCATCACAAGCCCATCAGGCTGGCTTGTGTCTGGGGTTTTACAAGCCAAGCTCACCAAATCATCAATCAATAACAGTAGATCAATGTCCCATTCTTCAGAATGCCTTCAATTCCAACTGGTCCAGGACCCGCAGCCATACGCGTATACCCCCACCCCTTCGCACCCGCACCTGCAGCTTCTCATGGATGAGCCGGCAGGCTTCGACGATTTGATCCAGTGCCGGCGGCCCATCATCGTGGTAGTAGCCTCGAGAGGCATCGCGGCACGACGGGTGGGGGGTGCGCTGGTCACTGCAGAAACGTACATCTTGCGCGGGTCACTGTGCATGTGCACCAGAAGCGATTGAAAGAAGAGTATCTGAGCCCTAAGGCACTAAGCTCCTTCTTCCTCAAACCACACCTGACCGAAGCCTCCTCCCCACTCCAACCCTCTCCCACTCTCCAACCCTCTCCCACTCTCCAAGCCACCCTCCACCACATAGTGAGGCACATCATACTTGGCATTGCGCACCCGCGACTCATTCAGCAGGCAGATCACCTCCGCCTCACCTGCCAAGTCCTGGGCCTGGCCAGTCGCAAAAAGGCGGGATGGATAAGAAGACGTTCTACAGTGGTTTCAGAGGTTCGATGGCACTGGCACCCCAAGATGTCTTACACAGATGGGGCCTCCGACTCCTTTTTTGGTTGCACCACCGAAGGTAGTATGGGTGTGCCAGCGAACATGTGAAGCAACTTTCTAAGAGAAGCTCAATTTCTGAGCCTGTCCCCCCAAAAAAATGAAAGAGATCCGAAGACTTGAAGTAAAAAAACATAAGAACAATCCGCCCCAGAACGCACCATCCCAGAAGCTGCCTGTCGGCCAGAAGCTGCGAATCTGCCCACATGGAGAAACCACCGGAAGGATTCTCAACCAAAACTCCGTCCCGACACCCGTCCTTGGGCACCACCTTGCCATCCACCTTCTCACACACCACCTCATCGGCCCATTGAAGCTCTGGGCCCACACTCACCACCATGGCGCGGACGAGGGCGAGTTCAGCCCTTCACGTCCGGAGCCGCACCGTGGCTGAGCCAGTGTTCCACGGATCGCGCGGAAATGCGGGTGTTGCACAGTGGCAATCAGTTCGTTGAGATCTCCCAAGGGTCGAGGTTTGTCGCAGGATGCCAGTCGACAAGCCTGCCCCAAAATGCTAGCTCTGAGAGTGGGGTAAAACCTCTCGTCGCCTCTCGCTCGCCACACATCGGTGCCTCGGGCACAAACATCGGGTCGCTTTCGAGCTCTAGACCATCTGCGATGCGATGCACCGGCACCACATCCAGCACCCGGCATGGCAAAAAACAAACATGCGCACCGGCCCCGGACGCTCCCTCCCTCCATCCTCCCGCCCTGCCCTCGCCTCGCGAGGAGCTGGAAATGGCACATCACCCGATGGCCTGGGCACGGCGACGCCGAGGCGTGTCACCCCGTGTCACCGCGACCGTCCGACGTCTGGGCGCCCTGACATGGTCCGGGGATGGTTCCACTGCCATCAAATCCTCGGCCAAGCAGTGGGGCTCACCATGGTGAGCTCGTAACACATGATGCTAACGCCAAGAGCTCGCGGGGTTGCAGCCAGCACCTGGGCCTGGACCCCTCGGTCGACCCAGCTGCTCGGGTCGTCCGGTCTCCGAAACCGGTACACTCGAGCCGGTGACGGCGCTGGAACGCGATGGTCGCTGCAAGAGAAGGACTGCAGGGGGATGGGTCCACCATCTCTGCGTGCTTGGTTTTTTTTAGACGGGTTCCCAGGGACACCCGGAAAGAATCGCAATCATATATACACCTCACAATGAAGGGAGGGGAGATCAGGGATATCACACTAGAATGAGACTTCACCGAGTGCTTCTTGACCTTTGGATCGTTGCACCATGTCAGCTCCGCCATGCTTAATGAATAGAACTGAAGTTCAACCCCCCAACTGAAGAGGTGTTGCCATCCATGTTTGGGGAGGTTGTGTTGAATCAAGACTCTACACGATGCACGTGTTCTCAACCGCTTCTGAACTGCGGCCTTGTCACCCTCAAAGCTCTCTGGCTCAGAATGGCATGTTTGGCTCCTTCCATCCTCCCCAAAAATCACCCAATGGCTCATCACCAGGAATCACATCACCAGAGGTGCCTTTGAGTCACCTTTTTGCTCATCGGGACTGGTGCCGCGTCAGCGTGTTGGACTCCTGCCGCGGCGCGGGACCGGACTCGGCACGGGACCGGTCGGTGCGTCGAAGCGAAGATCGGGAAGCGCCGTGGCGCCCCCCCAAGACCCACAAATCCGCCCCAAAACGGACCAAGCCCATGCGGTTCGGATGCTTTCTGCAGAGAAAAGTCCTCATCATCCCGGAATGGGCTTCTCAGAAAAGATCCTCATCCAGTCACTGCTTCATCGTCACACTCCGGTGGAAAACCCGCGACCAAAAACATGCCCAAACGAACATGGGGACGCTTGAGGTCGGGGGCCATCGGCAGAGGCCCTCCTTGAAGGTCGGAAGCATGCCAGGCTCTTGTGGCTGCGGCGCCTGGGAAAACCATGGGATTTGGTTTTGGCCTCTACAAACGGGATGGTTTTGGGGAGGTGTGAGTTCCCAAAGAGTGCTTTGAAAGAAGAACCCATCAAAAAACACCAATTCCTGATGTCACACGCTTTCCGCACCATGGACTCCGTGGACAGACCAAAGAACGAAAAAGCCGATGGCTCTCGAAGCAACTCAGAAGTACAGTAGGCAGCTCCAATTGGCGAATCTCGCCGGGATGTGCGCGCTGTCCATTCCACACATGGGCCATGTCGAGCCCAGAAGAGTCCGAACAACCAGTGACTTCCATTGGAGTTACGGTGCCAACTGCCGAACGGAGGATGTGACTCAACACCACCTGGCACCAGCGACTCTCCAGCCTCCTGAAAGTAAGGATGCTCGACTGCTGCAGCAGCTGCCAAGCGCCTTCCAAGCAACGAAGCAGCAAAGGACCAAGTATACAGTTCTCCGCTAGTAGGACCCCTGGAAGTCTAAGGCCATGTTGTAAATGGTTGATCTGTTAAATTACCGGTGGTTCGAATCCTAGGGTTACACTTGGTGAGCCGAGTAGTTCTCATTCCAACCTCTTTCTAGATTGGCCAAGTAACCCATCACAAGTGTCAATGTGATTTCTACAGTTTGAGCCACTTGAGTTCTGTCCATCTCCACAGAAACAAACGCTCCCGGAGACAAAAATAAATGCTCACTCCTCTTTCAGGAGGGAAAAACCCTCCGAATACCGGAAGCAGCTTCATCTATTCCCATCCCCACCGGGTCCCCACCCCTTCCCTTTTCGCCTCTCAGGGCAACACTCCAGAAGCCCTTGCAGCAACACCAGCCCCAGCTCTGACAGTGCACCCTCCGGTGGAAAGGCGAAGAGCTCGCGCCAGCCTAACTCACGTCACCGCGGATGGATGAGGCGAGTCGAACTCGGACGAAGCGTTTCGGTGGACGGTTTGATGAGGCTTCAATCACCGAGATTATGTTCATTCAAAGGCCTCTGGTAGGTCCTCATTTCAGAAAAGGTCCCAAGAATCTTCCCCCCCCAGCTACCTCTTCTGTTCACCCCTGTGCACGACTCCAAAAAGGCCCATGCCTCCAAAAACGCCTCCAGAATCGAAAGCCCAGGAGCCAGGCTCGAAGATCTCTTTGAAGCTCTCAGTCGCCTTCCAGTTCGACAGCTGGCTGCAGCCCGGCCAAGACTCCTCGTCCGGCAGACCCACCAGCCCGAAGATCAGGCCCAGTTGATGAAGCTCCGCACGGCCCTGGCTCCGCACCGCCACACCCATCAAGCGCGCGAGTGCTCGAACGCGCCACGTCCGCATCGGACGAATCCCTTCCGATTGAAAAACACGAAGCCTGAACTCGCCTTTGGGAATTGGGAAGCTGGGATTGATGAAGCCCTACACGAAGTTCGAAGGAGACTGTCCGAAGGAGTCCGACTTCGGAAACGGTCTGCCAAAGAGGAATCGCACCAGAAAACTGAAAAAGACTCCTTCTTTTGTTCATCCAGTACTTGGAAGAAAGAACTTGAACCGCCAGGGCTCGTTCCCCACTTCCATACCATAGCATACCCCCGCAGCGGCCCGCAGCCCATCCTTTGGAATGACTCAAAGGCTCCGTCGGTGCCGGGACCGGCTCCGTCGCTCCTCGAAGACGGGGCGTCGCAGAAGCATCTCGGAGAAGATGCAGCCACTGCTCCAAAGGTCGATGGCACTGCTGTAGGTCCTGCCGACCGGGTCGGTGGGGTCGGTGGGTCCTGCCGGTTTTTGGTCCCTTTCCCCGTGGGAAAGCGCCCCGATGTTTTGGAAAGAAGATGTGATGGATGCTTCTAGCTGAGTGGGAAGGCCCTAATAGCTAGACATCCTTTGAGTTGAAAGTCTTGGAATTCGTCCCTGAACTCTACATGTGTTTTCCTTACATGCGTCAAATGGTATATTGAGTGCACTGCATATGAAGAACATGTGCAGCCATGGGCTCCAGTCTTATCACCATGTAGTTGCTTTTTGCATGATCGTCTCAAATGCTTGGCCATTGGGGAAAAAAACGAAATCAGAAGCATTTAAGGAACCGTGGAACCGTGGGTCCTTTCACCCAGCAAAAGCTCAGGTGCTCTGTACCAAAGGGACTGCACCTGAGTCAGTCAGAGGGCCCTCTCAGTCGGTCAGTCAGGAGCATCCATTCGGAACACTCGTCGTGAAGCGACCAGCGACTAGTCAAGTGGAACTTCCTTTCCATCCGATGATTCATCGCTCAGGACAAAATATACAGTACAATAAGTCGAACTCATTCGAACTCCGTATCCAAACATACCATCTTATGGGTGTCTTTAGTTCGTCTTATCGTCTATGCAACGACCCTGCGCCTTTGCGTCTCCGGCAACGACCGGCAACGACCGGCTGGGTGCCGCGACTCGCTGGGTATAGGGACGCAGGGGCCTCGAAGCCACGGAACGGAGCCAGGCGAAACGTACAGGTCTATCTATGATCTGGGGCATGCAAAAGAGTCTAGGAGGAACCGTGGTCTATGTGATATAGTCTATGTATGTGTGTATATATAGATACATATGTATGTGTGCTTCTATGATACAACTTGTTGAGTCTTTAGGAAGTACTTTGCCAGCGTTCATCTCGGTCACCCATTTCGCTGTTCATCTCGGTCACCCGTGACCTCATTCACCGTCCAAGGGGCTCTCCGAAGTGGCGCGCGAGGCCGAAATCGCAGATCTTCAAGATCCCATTCCTCCGCCGGGTCCGCTGTGCTTCGGCGGATCCGTTTGACCAAACATGAACCAAATGGACCATCAAGGAGGTCAACCTACCCTGGTTTGGAGATACGGGTTTTGACCCACAGCCAGGTGAGTTGTTCACTGGTCGGAGCTTCTGGCCTACAAAATGTTGAACCCTTGCCTCTTCAAAAGTCCAAAATCCGGGCTAGCCATTTCTTAACACAAAAGTCTAGTGTTTAGGTGTGCTCTCTGTTGTCTTCCTCACATCCATGCAACAGAAAAAGGCAAAAAAAACATCCTGTAACATGATGTTTAATGCTTGTGGGGGGCACCAGGTTCTTCTTGTAACTGCTTCCTATTGACACCCGTATGTGTATATATATATATGTATGTATGTATGTTAATCTTCCAGTTATTAATCGATGTTCTTATTTTTTGTGGAAGAACACATGTCCGGCACGGCGCGCGCTCAATTCCACGCGGCGCCTGTCCAGCAAGATGTTCGAGGTCTTCAAGTCTCGGTGCACGATCCTCGCGGTGGAACGACCGAACGACCGTCGTCTGGACGACCTGTGCGGACGATGATCGAAGACGATTCTCAAGCTGAGCAAAAATGTGCCAAGATGTGAGTTATCTCGGATGGAGAGTTCACCAAAATAGAAAGGAAACCCATTCAGAGACGAAAAGGACATAAGGACACCACTTTCCCACCCCACCGTCTGCCCCAAACGGGCTCCCCGTCTTGTTCCGGTCCAGTTCAGGTGGAGGTGCGCCACCCCCGCGAGCAGCTGCCGCAGCAAGCACTTCTGTTCCGCCACGGCGAAGGCGTGTTGTACCAGCAAGACCTTGAGCTCGTGCTCCACGTACTCCATAGCCATAAAGACGTGCTGCAAGGTATTCCCCACCACCTTAGCGGTTGGCCGAAGGGTTCCAAGAAGGAAGAAGTTCACTGCTAAGCGGCTTGGCTGGGTAGGTGACGGCTCTTTACAGAGACCTGTTTCTGGTGACTGGTCGCCAGTCCACTGACCAAAAACTGCTCCCGTGAATTCCCTGCCACGACCATCACATCCTTTCGGCTCCCAAACATGTGACTCCCAGATTCATCGACATCCCTCAACACTGAGGCCGCGGCCACCTCGCGACATTGCACGATGTTGGGATGATGGATCTCGAGGAGAATTGAAATCTCGCGGATCGACGACACCTCGAAACAGCACGGGCTTTCATCCGACGGGCCTTCGCGGGCGGTTTCATCGCACAGCACGGGCGGGTCGGACCCTAGCAGGGGTCCGGGCCCGAACCAAACCCTATCTGTTTGAGGGCCCGGAGTCTTAGGGTTTAACAAATCAAGGCTCTAAACATCTGGGATCAACTCGATGTGCACATGGCTTGCCCGCCGCCTTCTTTGCCTTCATCTCTACGAACTCGAGGTTTGGCTTGCCCCCCCAGGTCGATTCGGCCCGCCGTCCAATTAAGACTAGCAACCATCTAGCAACCATCTATAGGATCGGTGCTGGTGCCCTAGGGAACCCGAACCTTTCGACACGAAACCCAGTCGTGACACGATTCCTTAGTGATTAACACCCTTATCCGATTTCAACTACTGTAACTCTAACGTCTCCAAAGAAGGCTTTGGGCAATGGACTCCAAGAATTTCCAACAGATTTATATACTGACGTCATCATCGAATCGGACAATGACCCTCTCTGGAAAGACCCTGCTCCGAAGACCAAACAAGGGGGTTGTCCACTTCCATGTTTGTTTCAGGGAGGGGTTCTTTTTCCTAGCCAGATCTTGGGCGGTGCCTTCTTTTGTTGTCACCAAGCCATCCTCCGCGCTCTCCACGGTCGGGGGAAGCGGCAGGGAAGCCATCCTCCGACTTCACCGCCGTAAGCTTCAACTGCTTCAGGGCAACGACCTCGATGACCGTCGATGGATGGCGAGCTCGTTCCGATGGAACGGGATTTGGGGGCCTTATCATTAGGACGACCAAGCACATGGCTAAAATGTGCGCCAAAATGCTGGCACATCGCCGCAAGACCTCCAAGTGCCAGCTCGACCTGTCGAAGCCAACGTCCAAAACCTCCCACCCTCGACTGCCCTCCCACCCTCCCACCCTCCAACTCCGGGCCTCGCCGGTCTCAACCTCACAGGCGCGGTACACGACGCCGTAGGTGCCCTCGTCGATGCGGTTCAGCTTCCGGAAGCTCTGCACGCTTCGGCAGCCTCAGCATTTGCCCAAGAACACCCATCCCTTGTTACTAGTATATAGCTGCTTGTTACTAGTAGTGATAGCCTCCAACCTAGTAGTTTCTTGTTAGGATGTTTTTGGATGTTTTTTGGTTGGAAGGACTGCCAGCCCCTTTGGGGAAAACCTCTGGACAGCTGATCCCACACCCCGAATGAGCCATTCCAAGCCCAAGGCCTTTTTCAGCCCACATCCATCCAAGCTCGCCACCCTCCGGCCTTGATTCAAACAATTGGCTGACCAGCTCCCTACGCGCGGGCGCTTGGGGGCGGCTTCCGCCATGGTCCCATGGCTCCGGGGAACTGACTGGTTCAGCCGTCGACCTGGGAGACCTTGGACCGTCGGCGGGCACCGGTGAGGTAGGACGAGGGTGGCATATATAGCTACTCAGCGACTCGTAACTGGGCATCGCCGCATCGCTATGAAAATACATCCAACTGATGGATTGGCAGAGGCCAACATGCCTAGGATTTGGGCTGAACCATGCAACCCTGTTGGGACAAATTTATGGCTTCGTCCTGTTTTGTCATATTATGACAAAAGTGTCATATGGGTTCCAGATGTTTGTGTATCTCTTCCGTCCTTCCTTCCTTCCTTCCTTCCTTGGCTGGCTGGCTGGCTGGCTGTTTCTTTCTCTCTCTGGATTTGCTGCATACCTTTCCAAAGATCCTCCATCCCTCCACAATCCCAATCCACAATCCCAATCCACTCGCAGCATCACGCCTCCTTTTCGCCGCGGAGACGTGGAGGGGTTTTTCCCCGCCAGCGCTGGGGTATGGCATGGATTTCTGACTGGAAGGTTTGAGCATGGCGTTTGAACATGGTGTTTTGGTGGCCGCATCGTGGCCGCATCAAAGCCCGGATTTTCGTGGGGTCAGGTCACAGCACAGCCCAAAACCATCCGGTCAAATTCAAAGACCCTTTAAAACCGGACCTTCTTCAGCAGCTCCCAGGCCATTCAATGATGTCGTTGGTGGACACTTGGTGGACACTGCACATGGCTCCACATGGCAATCATGGCACGGTCCGCATGTCGGGTTCAAACACCGTACCTGGCAGTTCGTGCAAGAGTCATGTCCAAAGCTGCAGAAGCACAAGCAAATCTGTCCAAAGGGAGAGTCAGCTTGGATTGGAATTCATATGGATTGAACCGGCCCAGGTGTGCTGGACTGGGCGCCACCCTGCGCCAAGAACCAAACACCGCGTGTCGGCATCAGTTCGTGAGACGTTTCTTTTTTCGCGCGAGTCTTCTCGCGCGGGTCATGTGCAGCTCAGCGCAGATCTGGCCTCAGCATCTGGTGCGTGACATTCGAGGAGGTGAAGCAAAGACGTGGACCAAACCCAAAAAATCAAAAACCGGACTAACATCCCCCAAATGTCAGCCATCATGCCACTTTCTTGCACCTCGGCTGCTTGATGTTTGAGCCCAACTGATCCGAGCTCTCAGAACTTCCCTGCCCCGCCCGAGCCGTTGGAGCTCTCAGTGCCCAGCACATCGGTCAGCCGGCGGTCACGCAGACCCGTCGGTCTGAGAGCCTGGGGGACGAAGGGACGAGGCTCTCAGGGACATCGGTCCTCGGCTGAGTGACCTAGTGGTGGGGGGCCCTGGTAGGTTCTGGTTGGTCTACTAAAGAGCAAGAGCTTTTTGAGACTTCCTGGGTTTTCTATAGACCCCTCGTGGTTGGGGGTTATATCTCTTGGTAGGTTCTGTCATCCCATCTCTGTCCTTTTTGGTGGAAAAACCAGGTGTCCATCCAAAGCAACTCCGTGACCCTGGTACATGGTCTGGTCGTCTATGGAAAGGACAGGGTTAGCCGGCGCCATGGCACAGCCAAATGGAACATCAGAATCCGATTGATGTCCGAGCGTCTTTGGTTTCACATCCCGCCGACATGAGACCCCCTTGAGATTCCTCGTGCATTTTCCGTGGCCTTCGAGTGTTGCCTCTTTTCGATGTGATTGTTGCATGAAAGTGATGAGAATCCATGAGAATCCTACAGGACACCTAGGGCGTCCAGAGGCTCCAAATCCTTCTGCCTGCGGCCTTCGGGTCACCTCGTCTCCACTCAACCCCTCCTCCGCCCTGAGGTGCCGCACGCATTCAGCACGGGAATGCCACCGGAGACGGGTCGATCTTTGCCTGAGGGTTTTCCCCGCGCGCGCGGCCAGAAGGCGACTCCCCAAAGGAGTTCCGGCTGCGGGGTAAATCAACAACTAGATCTCATTTACATGCTCCTTCTGAAGCATTTGAAAAACATCCCTTTGATCCGGAGGCCCGGCCCCCTTGTCCAGGCCCCCTTGCTTCCAGGAAACCCGCTGCATCCGGGGGTGGCAAGACGGACGTGAAACCAGGTGGACCCGCCTGGGCATGGCAGGTCAGGAGGGCAACCCAAAGAGGCCATCTGTGGCCTCAGGTGGCAGCGGTTGAGACAAGAACAGGATTGCCTGGGCTGCCAACGTCATGCCCCTGCCCATCCGAATCCTCTTTCGGATTGGTACTTTCTACACACACACACAAAGATACATATAGATATGTAGATATATAGATATGGAAAAATGTATTATATATATATACACACATCTGAAGCACCCCAAATGATGGGCAAACGCCGCTAGTCCCACGCATAGTCTGGGTCACCCAGTTCGACCCAGTGGCAAGATCGGTTTCTGCCGAGCGGAGCTGCGAGGCCGCGGGGGGGGGGCCCGGCCACGGCCTCCAAATCAGCAGCGCTTAATCAGCGCTTAACACGTGCTAGAACAGTACTCGAGTTGATGCTCCTGAAGCAGATTCTCTAGGCTTCCATTCGTCTTCGTGCGCATGTTGCTTGCGCGCGCTCTCTCTCTCTCTCTCTCTGCTCCATGCATCTCATCTACCTCATCTAGTTGTGGCGTCACAAGTCCAGTTCTCCTTGCATGTGCTCAAATCCACAAGCGGGAAGCCACTGCAAAAAATCTAAAAGAATAACGTCTTCAGTCTCTGCTTCATGTCTTCAGCGTTTACCCGCACCCCATAATTTTCTCAGATGGGACTCACAAGCTCCATGTCGGCACATCCAGCCTTGAAGCTTCTTCTTCATCGGAGGCCTGGCAAATGGGCGAAGGTGAGGTTGGATTAGGTAGGGGGCTGCAGGATCACTAAGGATCGGGAAACTGTGGCATTCCACGAGATGATGATGGAAAGGTAATGGATATACCATGATGGATGCCATGATGCTAGGGTGTAGTACACGCACCAAGGAAGTCCATGATTCATGGGTCTGGATACGATCCACCCACAAAGCACTTTGATGATGGACCTTCTCATCAACTGGTAACAGTACCGATTGCTTGCCTTTTCTCCCCA